AACGAGCTCACTGAACAACCAATAGAAACAAACACAGACTGAAATATCAGAACTCTGCACAGCAGCTGAGGTATTACAGTCGGGATGAGTCAAAAAGTGGGAAGAGGAGGGACTGGGCCAGCTTAGACACTAGGCAAGCCTACCTGCTACCATCGGGAGTGCACACTCATCACAGGTGTTTCAGGATGGGTCTGGGTAAAGCCCCATAGAACACAGGGCCGGAGCGAATCTTAGAAAACTCTAGTCTGATGTTCCAGAGCAGTATACAATGGATATGGGAGTTAGTGGGCCACACGACAGGGAGGCAGTGAAAAGACCACAGTGGTGCACGGGAAGACTGTGTCAAAAGGGACTCACTCGGGAATGGAATCACCTGCAAGGGCGGCAGGGTGAGGGGAATGCCTCGGACTAGCAGAGACAAAAGATACAACCGATAGTGGGTTACTGGCTGTTTCAGGGTGCTAAAGTAGGAAAGACATAGAGAACTAACTCCACATCATACCACAGCAAAGTCAAGTCCTGCGACGTACAGCAGTCTCTGAACAAAGAACCCTCCTACCCCCTCCCCATGTGTACAGACTGGATTCAGAGACCAAGCTAACAGAACTCCTGAACCAACACTGAAAAAACCGAACATGTCTTTGGTTCTAACATGCAGTGGTTCTTCAAAGAAGACGCCAACTGCATTGCAGCTGGGTCCTTCTGGCTCATGGTGAAACTGCAAGGACGGGGCGGCTGCCCTGTAGGGCTCCTGGGTCTGAAAGGGTTTGCAGAGGCCATCTGCCACGGCTCTCCAGCAAAGTGGCTAGTGAGTGTGGGCCCTAGCTTTCGATTGGCAAGTAGGCACTTGGCCACTGTGCCACCAGGGTGCCCAATTCTTCTACATTATATAGAATATTAAACCCCGAAAATTCTACAGTAAATGGAGTGTAAAACCAGAGCAATTTTTTAAAAGGTAACAAATTGGTTCGATTCCTACAAAATTTGTTAAAACATATGAAATGTTAGCAGAATTCATGATGATACGGGTTCTTATCAAACTATGCCTTATCTTTCTTAGTGCCTCAAGCCAGATTCTATTGACATAACAAGGTAGCACAGGTGCAAAAAAGATTTCAAAATATATGCATAGTTTTTCAGAACACGTGTTTTCTGTGAACTTTTTAAAGAATCTCTGATATAAGTTATGGGTAAGAGACGCTGAGACAAGTCTAACTGGAGGAGGGAGCCTGTACTGAAGAACACTGGGAGGTAATATTTGGAAACAGATTCAGGTCAGATGGAAGAGAAGCTTGAATACATGATATTCTATTAAATGAAGAGAAGCTCAGAGTTTCTTGCAGCTGGTTTTTATCTTATAGACTGAAGTGTGCAAATATGTCCACAGTGTGACCTAACTGGGAAATCCAGCCTTCTGTACCATCAGTGGTAAGAGCTAATCGTACTACTGTCTTGCACTCCTACCCACGGATGACGAGGTAGTCATTCAAAGATCCTAGCTCAGTCAACCCTCCTCACTTAGTCTTTAACTTTCTATGTTCTGTGGCTACTGAACAATATCATTTATTTTAGGTTTTCTTTCCTTAATTTTTGGATAAAAGACAGTCAAATATTTTGACAGAGTGCATTCCACTGAGCCCAGGACAAGGTTCCTGGTGATGGGAGTAAGGCCATCTCAAATATGGTCTACTAATTAGTGTAGAGAACCACCATAATCCTAAACTGCCTTAGAACCCAACTTTGATGGAGAGGTGTTGTTACACTAAGGGAGAGGTTTAAGAAACAAACAAAAGAGTCTAAGAATCATTTAGTGGGAACTGTAGTATAAAGATTTAGGCAGGAATTATACTTCCTAGCCACCACCCAAAACGTTTTCCCTGTTTAAGAACACCTGCCCTGTCACTCAGCTATCTGCTTTTAATTAAGTAGACTAGGCCTGAGATAGGACTGACTGGGATCCCTTTTCACATATCCAAGCTCTGCCCATTTCCTCCCATTGTCCCTTATACACCAATGCAGTCAGTATTGGTTGTCAGGTGCCACCCAGTTGGTTCCAACTCATCCTGATCCTATGTACACAAGACTGAACACCTGGTCCTGCACCATGCTTCCAATTGTTGCATGTGAACCCACCATTGCAGCTCCTGTGTTAATTCATCTCAAAAGTGGTCTTCTTCTTTTTCTCTGCCCTTCTACTTTTACCACAGAAGGTATCTTTTCCCAGGGACTGAGCTCTCCTGATGACATGTCCAAAGGATGTGAAACAAAGTCTCCCCATGTGCACTTCTCAGAGCATTCTGGCTGTGGTTCCTCCAAGAGAGATGTGTCTCTTCTTCTGGCAGTCCGTGGTCTGTTCAATACTCTTTGCTAACACCATGATTCAAAGGCCGCAATCCTTCGGTCTTCGTTATTCAGAGCTCAGCTTCCACATGCAGATGAGTGAAAGAGAACACGACGGCTGGGTCAAGTGCCCCTTCGTCCTCACAGTGGCAGCACCCACAAGAGGACGTGGGCAGCAGATTCACCCCTGCAAAGCACGCTTTAGTTTCCTGAGGGCTGCTTCCTTGAGCACTGACTGGTTCCAAGCAAGATGCAATCTCTGACAACTTTAATCTGGGACACAGGGAGGGTTTTCACAATCTCGGTCCCACAAAAGTCAGCACATTCAAACTCTAATAATTGGACTCCTGAGAAACACCAAGTGACGAGGGCACAAAATAATCTTACTGTAGGACATTCAGAACCCTGATGGCAGTGAGTGGGTAATGTGTCGGACTGTACGCTAAAATGTAAGCAGTTAGAATCTACCAGTCGCTCAGTGGGAGAAAGGTGAGACTTTCTGCTCACTTAAGGGAGCAAATTTACAGCCTCCGAAACCCAAAGGGGCAGTTCTACTTCCTCCGATGGGATCTGAGTCAGCATCAACATGAGTGATGGCAGTGGTCTGGGTTTCTGGTCTGGGTGGAAAGGAAAGGCGTAAATAAAGGAAAGGGAAAAACTGAAATAATAAGTATGTTTAATGATACCATTTAGAGATAAGTGCCATTAAGGTAAGGAGCCCTAGTGGAACAAATGGTTAAGTACTCGGCTGCTAACTGCAAGGTTGGCAACTTGAACCCATCAGCCTCTCTGAGGGAAAATGATGTGGCATTCTGCTTTTATGAGGATTACAGCCTTGGAAATCCAATGGGGCAGTTTTACTCTGTACAACAGTGTCCCTATGAGTCAGAATCAATGCATAGGTTTTTAATGGTTTCTGTATGTTGTCTAAGATGAAAGAAACAGGATTTCATGATTTATAGGTCTATGGCATAAATAGTAATCACTATGTCAAAGCTCAAAGCATTCACATAATAGTCTAAACGAATCCAATGGCTTTAACCTCATTTTATCTTACCTTCTATTCCCAATCTAATCTTCTTCAGACCTCTCTCCTTCAAAACCGATTTGGCCACATCTCTGTTTTCAATGTACTTGAAAAATCTATACAATTTTGTGCTATAAATAACTGGAAACAAAAAGACAAAAAAAAATTCTTATTAAGATCAAAGTACTAGGTGGGAAGTTAAATTTATCTGGACATCAAAGGGGGCTTGACAAGTTAAAAAGTCCAAATCATGGATGGATGCACTGATGCCAAAGGATGACTAGCCAACATGACAGGACAACCGCTCAGTACAGTTAATGTAAAGCAAATGTCTACGTAGGTTGAAAAGCTTTGATAACGTCAGGGAACCCAATCCATAAGAAGAATCTCCTGGAAAGTTATATCACAGCCTTATTGGAGTGGGATCTGCCCCCCCAAATTTCTTCAAAGAAAAGAACCAAAAGAAGCTATCAATATTATATCATTGTCAGGCAGGCAAAGTAAAAGGTTCTGCTATGCCTAAAAGGCCTAGTCTGTGTGTGTGTGTGTGTGTGTGTGTGACACTGCCTTGTATAAACAGGTTTTTAAAATATATTTCATGGATTGAGCAACTATTAATAATTCCCCCAAAATGTAAAGACCCTCCCCACAAACTTTTTCATTCAGGCGAACAGCCCCATTTAATACTGATGTTAAAGATGGCAGATTCAAGCATGTTCTGCTCAGGTTAGTTTGTTTAGAGCAAACTGGCTTTGCAAAGGGCAGACATTCCACTAACAACATGTTGAGTCTTCCAAATGTGCTGGGAACTTCAGGGAGTTAGGGTGATGGGCCTTCCTCGCCTTCTGATTCTCAGGTGGAGTTATCTCCCTTAAAAGGTGAACTGCAAAGGTTTTTTCAAAAAAAGAAAAACACACTCACAAACCAAACGCGCTGGTTTCTAAGAGCCACGAAGAGGAAAAAATGTCCACAGACACCACTCATGGAGTAATTTTGTGATTGTTATTATATCTTCAATGTTACTGGTACTTCAACATCAAGATTTTCTGATGTCTCAAAATGGGATGCTATCACAAAGTCCTATTTTGGAAAATAAGGCAGAGAACTCTATCTCTTCAAATGAATCCTTTTTAAGTTTTAAGCACCTTAAGAGTAAGAAGAAATGCATTTTGGCAAATTATGTAAGAATGCTTTCAGTCTCGTTACCCTTCAACGCTTAAGGTAAAAATAATATATTCTTTAAACTCCAAAAACAAGGAAAGTTAAGGAATTAAAAGGGAAAAACCACGTCTATTGTAATTCCTCTACAGTGTACTACAATTCCTATGTCCTATCGTTGGTTCAGGGAGCCTGAAGGCACAGGGCTAACCATGAAGTCAGCAGTAGAAACCGCCAGCCCCTCCGAGGGGCAGAGAAGTGGCGTTCTACTCCCTGAAGAGTTAGACTCACAGGGGCAGTTAGTTCTGCCCTCCAAGGTGACCGAGTCAGCATCAACTTGATGGCGGTGAGTTTGGTTGTAGTTAAGAGTTGGTTCCACTCTTGTGCAGTCAAAATGTTTTCAAAAATAAAATATTAATTGTAATCTTGTCCATTCCTCTCTCTTAGTATGTATCTTTTGATTCTTGGTAATATAATTCTTTCTATTTTTATTCCATGGGTTATTCTACATATTGCTAAAGAAAACCACTATTGACAATAAGTCTAGGACTGAGTATAAGAACTATCAGAACAACTATCACAACAATAAAAGAATCATAACACTCATTTAAGAACATCATTCAAAAGAAGCATCTTAATGTAAATCCTGAAATGTGCTACTATAACTTGTTTTAAAATAATCTTTTGACAATCTTAAGTCAAAATGAAAATCATTTGGATTGTGTTTTGTTTTTCTTTTAGAAAGGGTAAATAAATGGAGGAATATCAGAAGCGCCAAGGTTTTGACGCTCTCTATGCTCCTGTACTTTCCACTTAAACTCTAATTTTAGTTGTGTCAACAGGCCACAGCACAGATGCTAAACTACTTTATTCTCTCCATAAGTCATTCTTTCACAATTCTTTCTTTTTCCAAAATGATGAAACTGGTCAAAAATACTCCATTGGGTTTATCAAGAGAAATAATAAAAGATAAATTTTCTAAGAAAAAAAAATCAGTAGGCTTTAATTAGAAAAGATTTGGAAGTAGAAAAAAAGGTGGTGGTTGTTATTCAAGTGAAGCAAGCTATTTTGTCAGAAATGCCTAAGAGAACTATAGTTCCATAAAGCTTTCCGTAAGGTCAGAAACACCTGATATTAAAAATAAGTATCTTAGAACTTAAAGCTACATGGAAAATCTGTGAGTTCAACTCTATTTTATATAGAGAAATTCATTTAAAAATATATATATTTTTATAATACAGAAAGCTCACTCCTCGCTGCCACTGAGTCAATTCTGATAACAACAGAGTAGACACTGCCCCTGTGGGTTTCCCCAACTCTATCTCTACAGGAGTAGAAAGTCCCGTCTTTCTACTGCTGACCAAGCTGATGGGTTTGAACTGACCTTGTGGTTAAATGCCCAACACAAAACCACTATACCACCAGGGATCCTTACAGGGGGGGGGGGGGGTCCGTCAAAATCCAGATACTCAGCAAAGAACAAATCATTCCTGTGTATGGCAAGGGTAGACAAACGTTTTCTATAAAGGGCTACAGGGTAAATAATTTAGGTTTTGCAAGCCACCAGGTCTGTTAAAAACAACCCAATTCGGCCACGTGGCATGACAGCAACCGTAAATAAGATGTAAGAGAATGCGTGCGGCTGTGTGCCAATACAATTTATTCACTGTAGGCTGATTAGGGCTACAGGCTACAGTTTGCTGATCCCTGGATGTGGAAAGGGAGCCCTGGTGGAGTAGTGGGTAAAGCACCATGCTGGTATAACCCAAAAGTCAATAGTTCAAGCACACTAGTGTGAGAAAGATTTAGAGTCTACTCCCCTAAAAATTTACAGGACCCCTGTGAAGCAGTCCCACTAAGAATTGGAACTGACTCTCAGGCAATGGGTTTGGTTTTGATTTGGTGTGTGTTAAGGACCCAATATACTTTCTTTATAGAAATTATCCTGTGATTAATATCAGAAAAGATAATTTGTTGATTCAAGAAAGAGAAAACATGCCAAAATACTTACTTTGTGAATACTCTTCTCCCATTTGTGGTGGATACTCTTCATCCCAATCAACGACATCGTCGTCTGTAAGCACCACGATGTGGCATTCTCGTTCCCCACTCTGGGCACTAGCCACCATGAGAGGAAGGATCATTTCTTCCAGATAAAACTCAAATTGTCTACGAGCACCATCATTTGATAATTCATGCATTAGGGCACCTGAAATGAAACCCACAAAAAATCCTGATAGTTTTACCAGAAGCAACATACTTAAAAAAATTAGTTCAGCATCTATGTATTTTGGGACACTACAGACAATATAATGGCTTTTCTTCAGTCACTAAATTTCCCTAGGGAAGAGTTAATAGAGAATTATAAAATCTTATGGCAAGAAGAGCTAATTATTGGCACCCAGCACAATCCCATATTTTACACACCATGAAGTAATTTGCTTAAGGTTATAAAATAAATTAACTTTAAAAATCAAAATTAGAACTCCATTGCTAATTCATAATAAAGTAATTTTTACTTTATCATGCTGCCCCATGAATATGTGCAATTATGTTAGGCACACCAAACCCACTGCCACTGAGTCCATTCTAACGCATAGTGACCACTGCGTCACAGCAAAGCTACCCTGCAGTGTTTCAAGCGAGTGTTTCTCCTGTCGGGAAGCTGGCCAGTGAGCGAGCTCGACCTTTTCGTTGGCAGCCAAGTGCTAATCACTGTGAACCCAGGCTCCTCAGAATGAGTGCTGATATATCTTTATGTTACCGAATGTTTTTATTGTGAAAGTTTACAGAGGAAATTAGTTTTCGGTTAAACATTCGTTTTATAACACTTGCAATGTCCTCAGTAAAACTGTACTCTTTTCTGAGGCTCTCTCTATCCATCTATATCTATATCTATATGTATATCCATTCATCCTTCTTTCCTGCCCCTTCTTTTCTGTTAAGCCTTGTTTGAGGGCAAATGCTGCCCTTTGGGTTTCATGTTCTCAAGAGCGGATTCTTCACGAATGGTACTGTTCACTTCACAGGCCTGCCTGCTATTTGGCAGCAAAGTGATCCCCAGAGGTGGGCTCAGTTCCAGGTCTGAAGGGTGTCTTAAAGGCCAGTCTCAGGGTTTCCACCAGTCTCTGTCACACCAAAAAGTCATGTCTTTTCTATGATTTAAAATTCTGTTCTACACTCTTCTCCCATTCTGTGGTTCCAATCACAGTGGTTGATTGGTGGGAGCCAGACACCACGTAGTTCTTTTGGTATCAGAGTAGTGAAGGCTGTGGTTGAGATGAGGGTCCATTCGTCCTTTGGACTAATTATTTCTTTGGTTTTGGTTTGCCTTTTTCTTCACTCTGCTGATACCAATAGTTTTTTAAATAATATTTTATTGAGTTTTGGTGAAAGCATTTATTTACACAGCATGTTAGGTTTCCATTTGACAGTTCCCTCACAAATGATCTGGCGACAGTGGTTACACTGATCACAATGTCAGCATTCTCTGTGTGTCTGCTTGTTGTCTGTGTCTCTTTGTTTTTGAGTAACTATTGACACTTTGGTCTCATATTGATGATGGCTTTTAAGTAGAGCATCAATCTTCTAGATAATCTTTTACTTTGTGGGCTATTTTGCTAAAAGGTGATGTTTGGGTTTATAGAGTATCTCAGGGCAATAGTCTCACAGGGTTTTCTGTTGTCTATTGTTCAGATTGTCTGTCTGTTTTTCTGTCTCTCCTTTTAAATAAGAATATGAGCACTGCTTCACATTTTGCTTATATTCTATCTGGAACTAACTACTGGTCCCAATCAGAATGGTCAGCGGTGGTAACTGGGCACCATCTAGTTCTTCTGGTCTCAGGCTAGAGGACACCGCAGTCCTTCTACACTTGTTTTTCCTGTGTTTTTGGCTACCTTCTAACTGTTCTGCTCCTGGTGAGTTGAAATCCTTTGTTGTGTCTTAGCTGCTTAAAAGCTTTTAAAAACCCTAGCTGCTTCTCATTTCACTAGAATGCTGATCATCATTTTGCAAATTATGCTGTCAACTGACTGAACTGCCCCATTAGACAATGGTCCTAATCCTTCTAATCCCTAATTTTCTAACTCTCTGGGTGGTCTTCCTCAGTTACTTTACCAACTTTTTCTCCTCCAGCTAGACAGGAGGAGATGTCTATTAAATAAATGTCTATTAAATATTGACATTTCTTAGGACAATTAAGTTCTTTTCTTATACTAAAATCCCTAAATTTATCTCTACCAGTCTGACTCCTATTTTCTTATGACAAATAAAATCCAACTGCCCTCTAGAAATCTCAATTTGGATGCCACTTCATAGGCAGTTCAAATTCAGAATGTACAAAATTGAATTTATTATTTCTGCTTCTCTGTGGTGCGTCCCAAATCAATAAATACTACCATCATGCCCTGAAGTCCCCCAAATTATAACAGAACCATGTCAGGCATATAAGGCACTTGAATATTTATAGAATAAAGAAATGAGTTATAGATTCCTCTCTCACCTCCTCAACCATTCTTTCCTACTGAGTATACTGTACTTCTTACACTTGTCTTGAAGTCTGCCATCCCCCTCGCTGGCAGAAGACACTTACCTAAGGTGGCAGCAAACTCTTCCATATCACAAGTTCTTCTACAATGGAACTTTGTCACTTCCCCATAGGAGGTGGTGTCTAACTTGCCTGCCTTTGAATGTAGGCTAGTCATCCTGATTTGCTTGTAACCAGGATAGGGCAGAAATGACAGTGCATGATTTTGGAAGATAGGCCAAGAGAAGCCGTGCAGTTTTTGCCTTATTCACTAGAAACACTTACTCTCTGAACATCCCCTCCTAGACCCAATTTCTAGACCTTCGGACTTCGTGGAAAATCTCTACGTAAGTAACTTGCTCAACAGTCTTAGCTGAGCCCAGACTTATCTCAGCCTAGGTGCCTAATATATGATCAGAGAAGCCTTTCAACTTTAGTTACTCCCAGTCCTTCATTCTTCACAGATGAGGCCCTGGACATCTGGAAGCAGAAAAAAGCCACCTCCACTGCGCTCTGTCCAAATGCCCAACCCACAGAATCAGCTAGCATAATGAAATGGCTGTAGTTTATGTTACTAAGTCTGGGATAGTTTGTAACATAGCAACAGTTAATCAGAGCACATTCAAGCCCCATTCTACCCACTTTAGTCCAAGTCATCATTAACTCTCTTGTAACTATTGCAAATACCTTCTAATTACTTTTCCCCAACATGTGCTTCACCCCACTGTAATTTATTTTCCTCCTAGCTGCCAAATATAATTTATGTCTCATCTAAACATTTCATGACATCTACTGTCTTTAGAATAAAAACCTCAAATGCCAAATTTCATGTAAGAACATTTTGTACAAATGGAGGTTATAGATCCTTGTGCAGAATTTTTTATAAGAAAAAAAAAGTATATATTTATATATTAAAAGATATTCTGTTATCTTTTAATTTCATTTTACCACAAACTTTTTGAAGCCCTCTCTTATGTATTTCACAGAGTGAGAGTGCTTCTATTTCTCTCCTGAACTTGAGACATGTGTAGACGCAATGGCCCATTCAACATTTCCATTCAGATGTCCAAATCAAGCTTTTAAGTTTCTGCTCCCCAGAGACTCTCCCATCTCAATTTATTGTAATCCCACACTTCTAGTTCATTACAGTCCTCTTCTGTTTTCCCTATTCCAAAATCAAATCCTGTAAATTCTACCTTTCAACAGATTCACAATCTGACCACTTCTTAGTGCTTTCACCCTGATCCAAGAGACCACCATCTCTTAATGGCAAGAGATTCCTAATTGATCTCTTTGCTTATGCCTTAATTCTCCTTTTGGCCCAATTTCTAATACAACAGCCCAAAGTGAACTCTATGTCAGATCAGGACTATAGCACTGCACAGCTCTACGCTGCTGTGTGAATAGAGCCCCATAAAATGGCACAACACAGCAGCCTAGCACACCTATGAGTCTGTCCAAAGTGATCTACTGGGTTTCCAGCCTTATGCAGAGTAAAAGCCAAAGATCTTACTGGCCCATATAACCTAGCTCCCCTATTTCCTCTTTGACCTAATTTCCTATTCCTGTCGCACTCACTCACTCTACTCAAATGCTACTGGCCTCTTTAATGCTCTCAAACATGCCAGAGAAGGTCCTTCAACACTTGTACTCACTGTTAACCTCTGCTTATAATTTACTTATCGTATACACTTGAGGATAAGCTGACTCACATATCAGCCGAGGCAACTGATTTTACCACAAAAACTGCATTTAAAATGTGCTGAAAAACTTGGCTTATACACTAGTATATATGGTGGGTCTTCCTCTCCAGAAGCCTTGACTTCTTTTTATTTCCATCTTCTGTTCCTGGCTACTATATCTCCTATCCTTAACTTTTTTTTCTTAGCACTAATTATAAGGATCTCTGGTAGTACAGTCATTAAGCACTCAGCTGCTAACTGAAAGTTGGTGGTTAAAGCTCACCAGAGATTCACCAGGGATTCTGCAGGAGAAAGTTGCAGTAGTCTACTTCTTTAAAGACTCCAGCCTTAGGGCTTAGAGGGCAGTTCTACTTAGCCCTGCAGGGTCACTATGACTCACCAGTGCCTGGAGGCAATGGGTTTAAAACTCATTCCTATCTAATAGACTTTCTGTTATATAATTTGTCTACTATCTGCCTTCCTTACCACAAATGGAAGTTCCAAAAGAATAAGTTTTCCTGGTTTGTTCATGCTGCATTCCCAGAAGTTAGAACAGTGTTTTACACAGAGTAGACCATCTTTAATTACTGGATCAATAAATACACTGTCTTCTCCCTATGTCTGTGGACTCATTCCTCATTCTTCTTGTTCCCTCCCTCTACTGCGGCCACACTTGCCTCCTTTCACTTCCCTAAACGTATCATGTTCCTTCCTACTTGACCGTCTCTGCAAATACTTGTTTCTACTGCCTGGTAGAAGCAGCCTCTTGCCTCTCTGTCAATCTTTCAAGTTAATAGTTTTCATATCACTAATTCAGCCAATGATTCTCCACTGGCCCTTTATTATACACTTCCCACAGCATCTGATTTATTCCGTTATTTTTTTGGCTTTTATTTATTTGTTGAACACCCCACTAGATTGTAAACTCCATAAGGATAGGGATGATGTGTAACTTGTTCAATAATGTACATGCTATAGGCTTGATTAAGAAGAAAAAAAGCCAAGTTAAATAGTAAACTAAAAACACGTAGCTGGTAGTCAGGAGAAAGATGGAAGTTATAGAACTGGGTATCCTTAGTATGTAGCCATGATTGAAGTCGGAGAGAGGATTAGAATCATTTAAGATGAATGTCTAGATTCTGTACGACATAGTAAGTTAAGAGAAGAGTAGGGAAAAGACATACTCAAGGGATGAAGGGCCAGGGAACAAGTGAAAAGATTATAAACAGAAGACCTCTAAGAAGAATATCAAAATGCCAGAGCAAGAAAGAGCCAAGAAGAAATGAGTAACTTCACAGTGAAATTTTTAAAATTGCCTTTTAAAGATAAGGATGCCAAAATCAACTCTAAATTTAACATTGTGAAATTCTTCTAGTCAAATGAACATCACACAAAAGATATAAAAGTGTTATTTACAACAGGGCTGTAAGAAATATTTAAGAATCAAGAAATGAAATACATGAGAATCAATTGAAAGACTATTAGAAATAAATTGGGTGTTATGACATGGCTAAATATAAATGTATAAAACTCAGTAACTTTCTTATATGTTAGCATTTTCAAAATTTAAGTATTTTATGCACAGAACAATAAAATTATTCAAATAAACAAACCCAGAGAAAAAACTATATGAAAAAAAAAAGACAAAATTACCTAAAAAAGAAAAAAGAATAAATAACTGGGAAGTCATGGCCTTTGAAGCAAAAGTCAAATCAGTAATGAGTAAAAATAATTAACTTAAAAGAATTCCTTTTTGTGTTTTCTTTTTAACAAGAACTTTTCTTTCGGAAGGGTTTGAATGAGCACAGGAGCCCTGAGAGGATGGCAGTTTGTCTGAGCCCACATAGCTCTTCTGTGGGACAAAGACCGGACAATCGGATCTCCGGCAGATTAAACCAAAACCAAATGCACGCTATCATGTAAATTCTGACGAGGGTTCCTGAAATTGTCGATCTTTACAGGAGCAGGCAGCAGCATCTTTTTCCCATAGTGTGGCTGATGGGTTTGAACTGCCAGTCTTGTGGTTTGCAGCCCAGTGTTTAACCCACTGAACCATCCATTATAGCTCCTGTGGTATAGAAAACCCTATAAGGTAGTTCTACTCTGTCACACAGGGTCACTATGGGTCAAAATCAACTTGATGGCACCAAATAGCCACAAAATGGACAGAAGGTCAGATTTGATTATATCTGGGTCTGGAGTTTACAAAACATGGGGAAGGCAAAAAGTAATATTAGAGAAGACCAAAAAAATGGAATATGGTACTAACACTATGGCATGAAATAATGAAATGTTGCTACAATAATTACCATTAATACTGACATAATGATTAATATTAAATAAAATTTAATACTGATTTAATTTAAAATATGCATTATGAGTCCATTCTAATTGCCAGACACTGGGCACCAAGTCCAAAGGGTATTATTACCCCTATCTTCAAAGTCCAAACTGATTTAATAGCACAAACTCAGAAACAAAAGCAAGACTGAGAACGAGAGTTAAGTGAGAGAGGGAGAGAAACAGGGAGAAGAAGAAGAAAATATGAGTGAGCCTCATCTGTCCCCTTCAGTGATTTCAGAGGCAAATCTTCTCCCTTTCTCACCAGGCTGACTGAACTTCAAGTTTTGGTCTTTGGTTGTTGCCCTATGAGACTACATGATGGTGCCTTTTTTCCTAGGGCTTCATGAACTGGTGCTTTAAAAAAATCATTTTATCTACCACCTTTACCTAAGGACACTACATTTTCAAATTTATTTTGGCCCTAGACTCTTATTTTTGAGTTTAGTCCCAGGTCGCAAAACGTCTTCTGGATTACAATGCTTACTTGAGATGAGAATATGGGCCTTGAAGACATTTAACAACCTAGGTGGGAGCAACTATTTCTGTTTTTTCATTTTCCACCTTCTGGTTTTTTTTGTTGTTGTTGATTCACTGCCTTAATCGAGTAAAAATGAATAGTAAAATGAGAATCCCCATACATGGCTTTACCGAAAGGTTGCATGGAGTATGATCTCACCAAAACTGGCTGGGAGGATCTTCTTCCCAGTCGTGGGAGAGAGCTGAAAATACCCAACCCGTTCATAAAAAGTCACTGGAGGGAAATTTCACAAATAGAAAACCCAATAGTGTTTGGTCCCACTTCCCTACAAACCTATGCAGTCAAATTTCCTCCCCTCCCTGCCCCTTAATGTGCTGTGGGGGAGCTACTATCTCATGGATTTCTTTCACTATATGGTTAAGTTCCATGACAGAAGAATGAGAAGTCAGTTCCTCCCTACAGTAATCTTTTTTGCTTCTCAATAAGATAACCTTTCTGCCTGGAATACCTTTTCCTCGGGAAAGCTTCCCCATCCAATCTCCTGTCTTGGTATCCAATACTTGAATTAGATACCACCCCATATGCTTCTTTAGTGCTGATACATTACACATATATATGTGATGTATATATATTATAAAACTATACACTTTATTGTGTGATATCCATACAAGTATAAATGAAAGCTAGGGATTCAATCTCGAATCTTTAATGATAACTATTACCTTTAAGAATTATCTGTATCTTCCATAGAGTTCAGGGTATAATCTTACATGTTAAGTACAAAAACTAAAAACTTTTATATTACCTGATTTGAAGAGTGACACTGAGCAATAGCTTTCAAGCAAGGTCAAAGAAACTGGCAATTGGTGATTGCGAAAATCTAAATCAGCAGTTTTTTTAAAAAGTGGAAAATTGCACAAGCTCTATAAATACACTTCTGTAAATACCCTTTATGTACTAGAATACTTTATATTACAATTAAACAAATATTTGAAGTCTAATAGGTAAACTAGTACTTTCTTGTATTTCATTCCAATATATAATAGCTCTACAAAAAATTCACAAAGCATTATACTTACTGAGATCTCTACATTTAATAGTACTATATTCAAAAGAGATACAAAGATAGTCACATGCTTCTCTCAGTTCAGGGATAGATATGCCATCAGGACAACGGATTATTCCCGTCTTATAGTAATCCTGGAAAAGAAAAAAAGTAAAGAATGCATAAAGCATCTACAGCACAAAGCTGAAAAATGTCAGTGGAGCTCTGATATGTCAGAATTATGAATTTTTTAAATTACTGAAACCATACTCACTGCCATCCAGTTAATTCCAACTCAGGGCAACTCTACAGGCCCGGGCAGACTGCCCCTGTGGGTTTCTGCGACTGTCATTCTTTACAGGAGTAAAAGCCTCACCTTTCCCCCATGGGCTCAAACTGGTACGTTGTGGTTAGCAGCCAAGCACACAACCATTAGGGGAACCTTAATTCACCTATGAAGTTTCACATTTCACAAATAAGGAAAACATAGGCCCAGATGGATTCAATGACTACCAATATTCCAATTATTTAACAGCAAAGCTAAGATCCAAACTCGGGTCTCCTCATTCTTTATTCATTTTTCTAGTTGGGCATGTTAGTTAATACATTAATATATAGTTCCCCTTCTACATGATTTTTTCTAAACAACTATATATGTTAAATCATTTTATTGGGGGCTCATACAATTCTTATCACAATCCATACACACATCTATTGTGTCAAGCACATTTGTACATTTGTTGCCATCATCATTCTCAAAACATTTGCTCTCCACTTAAGCC